CTCGTCATGTTGTAGGTCCTGATCCCGTCATGTTGTAGGTCCTGACCTCGTCATGTTGTAGGTCCTGACCTCGTCATGCTGTAGGTCCTGACCTCATCAGTCTCTCTCTCTCTGCAGCTGTGTGGGATCAGATCTTGGATCCAGTGGCTCAGATGAGATTGTCCAGTGGAACCCTGAAGCTGTTTCCTGCTTATCTGAAAGGAGAAGATCTGTTCGGTTTAACTACGTCTGCAGTGATCAGGATCATAGAGTCTGTACGTTATACACACACACACACACACACATTCTGTACGTCCACAAGTAAAGACTCACTCACTCACTCTCTGTGTGTGTGTGTGTGTGTGTCTGTGTGTAGTTACCAGGTGTGGAGGCCTGTGGACGTTACAGCTTTCGTTATGGCAGGAACCCTCTCATGGAGTGGCCCCTGGCGTTCAGCCCGTCAGGCTCCGCCCGCTCTGAGCCCAAAGCCTCCCAGGCAAAGAGGTAATCTGATTACATCTGCAGCCATGAGTCGTTAATAGATTGGATCAATAATTGTCAAAGATTTTGATAACTGAGGAACATTTATTTGATTTTTTTTATATTTAACATCACACAGAAAAAAAAAAAAGAAAATGGAACAAACAATAGAACCATAAGCACAAAGGACAAAAGAAGCCAGACTCTACAGAGATAAGCTACAGCGTAACAGCATAACAGCGTAACAGCGTAACAGCGAACACCAATGAATCCTTCAGTAAATAACAAAGTAAAGCATGTGGTATGGAATAGCCAGAATAGGTATCGCGCAGCATTTCGGTCATTCGGGAAAGTTAAGGTGCCGATAAATTGGGCCTCCAAATATTGAGGAACAGTTGTAAGAGAACGTTTGTTCTGTTTCCGGGTGTCACACATCTGTGTTGTGATCGATAACGTGTTAAGTCCCAGCCTCCTCTGATCCCTCACGTCACGTGGTTAACGTTGTGTGTGTGCGACAGACCGTACCTGCTGACCAGCATCGCTCCCAGGTGTCAGGGCTCAGTGGGCTCCATCGTGGGTCTCGTTCCTGGCGTCATCTCGCTCTCTCCAGGAGAATCTGTGGCTAGCGCTCACCAGGGACGCCACTCGAAGTCATCTCAGTACCGACGCATGAAGGCCGAGTGGAAGAGCAACGTTTACCTGGCTCGCTCCCGCATCCAGGTGAGACACCTGCAGCTCCACCTGAACATGTGACTGATGACTGACGGATAGAACACTGACCCTGTGTGTGTGTGTGTGTGTGTGTGTGTGTGTGTGTGTGTGTGTGTGTGTGTG